GCTCCCCGCTTATGCAAATGAAGCCCGGGAAATTCAAATCCCGGGCTTCATTTGCAAGTGCGGTATGCCTACATTACCCTCCTAGTTCGAACTAGCGGGGTAGTGTAGACATACCCTAACTCTCATTCTCACAAACAATACATTTACAGAATTGCAGCATGGAACAAAGGGTTGCCTATTCTGTGTGGTATTTGAAAGCACAGGAGAGTCAGACTACCTGCTCATAGTTCCAGTGCTTCACCCCAGCCCAACAATCTTCTGGGAACAGCAATTACAGGGAGAATCCTTCTGAGCCCTCATAGCCCTGGGCTAGTCGTGCTGAACTGCTCTGTCAGCATTGCAGATGTTCAATCTGGTCAGCACTAAGGCTATGTCTAGACTACAAGCCTCTTTCGAAAGAGGCTTTTTCGAAAGATACTTTTGAAAAAGCTTCTTTCGAAAAAGGGCATCTAGACTACAATCAGTACTTTTGAAAAAGCAAGCTGCTTTTTCGAAAGAGAGCCCCTAGGCAGTCTGGATGCTCTCTTTCGAAAAAGCACAGTTTGCATTACATAGCGCCTTTTTTCGAAAGAGCACTTTTGAAAAAAGGTGTTATTCCTCCTGAAATGAGGATTACTGCTGTCGAAAGAAAAGTCGCGTTCTTTCGATTTAATTTCGAAAGAATGTGGCTGTAGTCTAGACACGGGAAGTTTTTTCGAAAAAAGGCTACTTTTTTCTAAAAAACCCTGCAGTCTAGACACAGCCTAAGAGCTATGAGAGGCATAAGCAACCTCAATGAAGACTGAATCTTCAGAGATTTTAGCTGCTATAATATAAAGCTCTATGTAGTATGTTTTCAAAGACTTATGAGATGGCTAAACTTGGGGGAATTTCCCCAAGAATCAGGAGTGAAAGTAACTTAAAATGTCTTACAAGTACTGTCTTATTGCCACCCAAGTCCCTGCCAGCTCTTTAAATAGCTCCTTGCTAGCTTTTATTGCAGCTCAGCAAGCTCTTGCCCGAGCTGCATACCAGGGCTTACCTGCTTATTTTCACCTCTGCCAAGGATAGCAAAAGGCATATTCTTGACACCAGCGGCACAGTGTGAGGGGGGCATAAGCACGTGACATCCCCCCAAACACCGTGGCTATGTCTGGACTGCCTCCTCTTGCACAAAAAATATGCAAATGAGGCAAAGCATGGAATATCGCTGTGCCTCATTTGCACAATTAATGAGGCTCCATTTTTGCGCAAAAACCCCCTCTTGCGCATGAGCCGTTCTTCCTGAAAAAAAGAGGCAGAACGGCTCTTGCGCAAGAGGGGGTTTTTGCACAAAAAGGAGCCGTGTAGGTGGCTCCTTTTTGTGCAAAAGCCTCTTGTGCAAAACCAGAGTCTCATTAATTATGCAAATGAGGCACAGCAATATTCCACGCTTTGTCTCATTTGCATTTTTTTTGAACAAGAGGGGGCAGTCTAGATGTAGCTCCCGGGTGGGATGGGCAAGGGGCCAGAGCCTCTGGGTGGCTGGGAGTGCTAGCGGCGGGGAGGAGAAACCTAGTCCCCACAGCAGAGGTTAGCTCCCGCTCCCCCAAATTCATTGGCAATTGCCGAGGGAAGTGGAGCAATGGCAACTCTTCTATCCTAGCTCCTGGTTGCATCACTTGGGAGAGGGGCAGGACCACCCCTGCACCCACCGGTGGGAAGCAGAGCCACATGGCTGGCAGCTAGGGAAGCAGATCTCAAGTATCTGTGTATGCTCACATGCACTTGTCACTTCTCAGTGCATTCTTTAGTACTGCCTGTTGATGGAGGCTCATCTCCCTGGCTGTTTCAGGAAGGTCCAAAACTTGGAGGATGCTCAGTCCCTTCAATTCCTGTTGATGACATTGAAGGACTGATGGTGCTTGAGAACCCCTATTGCAAAGGGCATATGTAAAGTATTTTAAAAAGGAGGAGATGCACCATACCATATTACACCATCTGAGGACATAGATTGAATTAACAGTTCTGAATGAAATTTACTCTTGTCTCTGTTTTCCCTTTTTTTTTCCCCCAGAGTGGAGCAGTGCACCAGTATTAGAACATCTAGTGATCTGGGAGGAAAAGAATGGCAAAATGTTCTTGTTGAAAAGTCTAATAATCCCTGGACAATCAGGGTATATCTACACTGCAACATTATTTCAGAATATCAGCCATTATTCTGAAATAACTATGCAAGTGTCTATACAGCTAGCCTGTTATTCCAAAATAATTTTGAAATACTGGGCACCTTATTTTGGTGTTTGTAAACCTCATTCCACGAGGAATAATGCTCCTTCCAAAATAGTTATTTTAGAATAGAAGTAGTGTGGACACTCCACTGCTGCTATTTCAAAATAGCTCCTCCTCCAGGACAGTCAAGGTAATTACGCCCCAGTGCTTCTTGGGGCTCTAATTCAAGGTATCACCTCCACATTATGGGAGCTTGCCTTGGACTAATTTCCAGGCTTTCCTGTAGTGTAGACGCGTTATTTCGAAATAAGCTATTTTGGAGTATCATGGAGCTAGATGTAGCCTCAGAATGTTTCCACATAGTGAATGGTTTTAAGGGCTGTAAAGCTAATACATTAACTAAATCATAGCACTGCTTCTCATTTTCACCACATCAGTTTTAGAAAATTTAATATTAAACATTGTACATTTACAGATGTGACAACCAATAGTATGGAAAAAGCAACTAGTCGTGCAGCATTTTCTGAAGAAATTTATCCAACACAAAGCAAACCAACAGGTTAGGGAAAAGATTTTTTTTAAATTTTGTTTTTCCCCTTTTAGAAACATTGTATCATGAAGAGCTTGACTATTTAATAAATTTTCCATCTCTGAATATTCCTCAGAAACTGTGAAAATTGGTTTTACTTCTAGTTAATCATCAATCTATTAAAAATGTCCTGTATTTGGCACAAAATTACAAATCTTTGCAGATGTGACAGAGAAGGGGATCCCATTTATATGTTCCTTTTTATGGTATTTTGCCTTGTAGCTACATATGTGTATTTTCAGCCTTCATTGCAGCTTAAAAGTTTGCTCTGGGAATTTTGTAGAGATATGATTGTCACACAAGGCATTTTGTGACAAGGTGTTACTCCTATTAGAGTAGAGTACAAGGTTCCCTCTAAGCTGCATGGCAACACAGCCCTGCATCTGCTTAATTAGCCCCAGTCAGTCCGGGGCCCAAGGCTCTGCACAGAGACATGCCTGATTTGGGGGCAGAGGGGAGATTAAGCAGCTGCAAGGCTGTGCTACCGTGCAGCTTAAAGGGAACCATGGTAGAGTATTTTTCTTCTGGGTTGCCACAGTAGGATAGAGAGTCAGAAGCTGTTCTTCCAAAGCCTCCCTTTTTGTTTCTCTTAAATACTGGTATGTTGTTGTATTTGGTTATGAAGAAGAACATTTTTCCCATTCATTGGAAGGAATTTTGCCCTCTAGAACCACCTCCTTCCAGTATTGCCCTGTAACCATAGTTTATTGATATATCTGTTTCTGACATCAGATAAAGATATATATTGCACAATAAAAGATGCTTCCACACCACCTTAGTGGCAGCAGATAGAGGCCAATTGCTAGCATAGTTTACTTTTCGTGAGAGGTGCCAGCATCAAAAGTGTCAATCAATCAGGGCAGAGTTTATTTGCTTTGGACATTTATTTAGTTTAGGATTCCTTTATTATTTTAACCAGGAAACAATAGGGATGTCTTTATGTAGTCCACTATATACCAATAAGCCTAGGCTTGCCATCTGCATGTATTCCCCCCATCTTGGTGCCTCTGTATCAGAGACAGCAGCTTGGAATGGCAGGGGGCTCCCTGGGAGTGGGGCCAGAGTGCACTGGCTGCTGTGAGGAGCTGGCTTAAAAGCTAGTTCCCCCCAGCATCTTCTCTGACTCCCACAGAGCACTTCTGTCCATGGTGATCCTGGACTCACCACGGACAGAGGCGGGTCCCTGGCTGGCCTCTGTCCCTGGGGCACTTGATCCCCCCACAGACAGGAGATGTTGCTGGAGCAGCCTCTGTCCGCAGTGGGCCCAGGCTCACCATGGACAGAGGCTGAAACACAGCAGCCTCCTCCACTTCCTCTTCCCCACAGTAGCCTCTGTCTGTGGGGAGTTCAGACCCTTGTGGACAGGGGCTGCTGCCACCCCGCGCAGCTGCCTCTGTATCAGAGACAGCAGTGTGGAGTGGCAGGGGGCTCCCCAGGAGTGGGGCTGGAGTGCACTGGCTACTGGACCCTGGGGACCAAAAGAATAGTCGAGTAACCGATAAGAATTCATGTGATTACTCAACTATTCAATTACTGGATATCTAACATCCATAGCGAACAATCTCAATATGTTATCCAATTAGTGCACACAGAGTTAACAAGTAAAGATAAGTTTGTAAGTTATACCAGTGTAAACTAGGAAACCTAACATTAAGCCCTACCTAACATCATTGTGTTTACTTTAGGAAGTTGCTCAGTATGGCTGTGTCTATACTGCACCCCTTTTCCGGAAAAGGGATGCAGATGAGACAAGTCAGAATTGCAACGTGGGGGATTTAAACCCCCCCCCCCTCCATTTGCATGAACATGGCTGCCGCTTTTTCCCGGCTCGGGGCTTTGCCGGAAAAAAGCGCCAGTCTAGACGGAGATCTTTCGGAAAATAAAGCCTGATTTTAAGAGGGATAAGGGTCCTTTCGGAAAAGGCTTTATTTTCCGAAAGATCCCCGCCTAGACTGGCACTTTTTTCCGGCAAAGCCCCGAGCCGGAAAAAAGCGGCAGCCATGTTTATACAAATGAAGCGGGGAAGATTTAAATCCCCCGCTTCATTTGCAATTCTGACTTGTCTCATCTGCATCCCTTTTCCGGAAAAGGGGTGCAGTGTAGACACAGCCTATATGTTCAGTAAGCTGAGTTAAAGATGGCAGTTTTACTTTTCACTGGCCAGTGGGCATTTGTACAACTGAAGTGCAGTTTGTTGGTTTTTTTATCTTGTACGGTATTCCCTTTCACAAATTTTAGAGGTCTTTTAATGAGAAAGGGATGAGACAGGCATGTGAAATTTTTCATTCCCTTTTTACGATAGCACGGATGTCACATAAGAACTATAGCTTCAGGTCATGATTACAACACTTCCTTACAACTCAATGGGCATCCAGTTCCTTTAGATGGTTTTGAAAATCTTAGCATAAACATGTTTCCCATATACAGTAAACTTCCGATAATCCGGCACCTTTAGGACCCAGGGGGTGCCGGATTATCAGATATGCCGGACTATCGGAAGGGGGGGCTATGAGGGGTCTGGGGTAGGGTGGGGTGGGGGGGATAGCTCCCCCTTCCAATAGTCCGGCTCTGCCCCAGGCGTCCCCGATTCAGCCGCTGCTGGTCAGTTTCAGCAGCAGCTGAATCAGGGAAGCCTGCGGCAGAGCAGCTGGGGTGCTGCCGGGTTGGTCCGGTAGCGCCGCCCCTCGGCACTGCGAGACCAACCCGGCAGCACCCCAGCTGCTCTGCCCCCGGCTTCCCCGATTCAGCCGCTGCTGGTCAGTTTCAGCAGCAGCTGAATCAGGGAAGCCTGCGGCAGAGCAGCTGGGGTGCTGCCGGGTTGGTCCGGTAGCGCCGCCCCTCGGCACTGCGAGACCAACCCGGCAGCACCCCAGCTGCTCTGCCCCCGGCTTCCCCGATTCAGCCGCTGCTGGTCAGTTTCAGCAGCGGCTGAATCGGGGAAGCCGGGCGCAGAGCAGCTCCAATTGTCCAGCTGCCTGGAGCACTTCTGGGTTCCTGATGGTGCCGGACCATCAAGTGCCGGAGCATTGGATGCCAGACTAATGGAGTTTTACTGTATTGTACATATTTATATTGTAATCAGTAACAGTCCAGCTTTTGCGTGAGCTCTAGGAAAATTGGACTCAATAGAAATTATGATCAGTACTTTTTAAGTTTTGTTTTATTTTCTTTACTGTGAGCTCCTGGCAACCAATGGTTCTGTTACTCTCAAAACTAAGTAGAAAAGCATTCTACCTGAATGCTTACCACTGAGAAATCCTAACTGCCAGCGCCGAGTATCAATCTGATACAGGGGCGGACTGGCCCGGTGGAATACCGGGAATTTCCCGGTGGGCCTTCATCCAGTGGGCCATCGTGTCCGCACGCCATTGCCCCTCACTTGGAGCGGCTTCTCGTCCGTACTGTATGCGGTATGCAGAGCCCAACCTGCCGCCTGTGCCACGTGCTGGACATGACACAGGGGGCGTGGCTTGAGGGGCACACAGGGGTGACGTAATGGGGAGGGCCGTTCTCAACCCATTTTCCAGGTCTACTTTGATTGCCAGTACGCTCCTGATCTGATACTCCAGTATTGTTTGTTCCACCATCATAGCAAGCTGACAGTCTAATAAGGCTGTTTTTATTTCTGTGTACAGTGTCTACTTCCACTGAGCCATTGCATTGTTGAAGCCTTTTTTTTTTCTAGCTTTGTTATTATAGAGTGTTCTCCAAAAATCCATTTGTGTCTGCTCCTTGTATTACAGCTCCCACTTTACCAGCTATGTAATTAAATCATTCCAATAGATATTCTCATCTTTGTTTTTGACTGACAAAAATACTGTTCAAAAATCTGTTCATTACAATAAAAGTATGGAAGAATTGACCACAAGAATTTTTGTATGTTTGATTGCAGATGTTCCTGAATCAGCTACTTATCCATGGCGTCAGTTGAACCATATTTTAAAGACACTGGAAGATCAAATGAGTAAATATATAAATATGTATGGCATAGCTTTTCAAATATAAGATTCAATAACTTCCTACTAACTTCGTATCTTTTTACAGGTGTTCAAAGATATGATTTCCAAGGTATAAAAGGAAGCCATTCTCAAGTGCCAGTGAGAATGCTGAAGAATGTATTACAGGACTTACAGAAAGAATATAGTATGTATTCTTTCCATTACTCTTTATGTTTTGTAAACATAAACTTGTTATTTTAGAAATATGGATGAACACACTTTAACATACTGAACACAGAGAGGATCAAATCCTCCATTGATGTAAATTGGTGAAATGCTACTTTGGCAGTGGTAGTCACTATGGATTTACATCAGCTGAAGATCTGGTACAAGGTCTTTATCTTCAGTTAAGTGTAGCTAGTTGCTATATAAACTTCACAGTGTAGAAGAGGTATTTGTAAATATTTATGAAAATCCAGAAACTATGAAATTGGGTGCTGAATGCCTCCAGTAACCAGGATAAGAGAGGCAAATATTAGATAAGAAATGTAACTACTTTTGTATATCTTGAATAGAGAGAAAAGGGCATGCAAACCAAACAGTGATCAGTTCGTTTAAGAACTTACAAATCAAGACCCTGATCCTGCAATTACTTATGTACCAGCTTAAGCTCAAGCACATGAACAATCCCATTGATTTTAATAGTCATTTCAATAGATGAAATCAGTAGGACTTACTGTGCTTAAATTTAAACACATATGTAAGTGATTGCATCATAGGAACTTATTACTCCTAAACTATGTACACAATGTAACTTTAAAAAAATGCTGCTATAAAAAGCACCCTCAAATGTTGCATCAATTATATTGGTGGCTATAGTATGTATATGCATCTATAAATCCTGCCACCAATGAACTTAGATCACAAGCGCATTTCACATAGGCCTAGAACTGGTCCTAGGGGCATGTGAGTGCAGATGCATGCAGCATTCTATTTAGTAGCCAAATTAATTAAACAAATAGGAAGGTGATAGAAGATGAAACCTCATATTAGGGAAGGGAAAGCAGTAGTCAGGGGCATGCCTGAAGAAACTAATGCGTCCCTCAGCAGTTCCGACACTTCCTCTGGAAATAGGAACAGCAAGCATTGTGTAGACCACAGAACAACCAGTCATCAGCTGGTACGCTATGTTCAGTTCAGTGACAGAGGAGGTGCCATGTCTTGTTACCATTGAGTTTCCTGGCTTATCGATCCTACTGTTATTTTTGCTTCTAGAATTAGATATGAGAAGTCATTATAGTAGAACAAGGGGTACGTGCTTTTCTTTTTCAAGTACTTTTTCCAACACTAGAAAGCATTCGCTTCCTCATATACATTTGTGACATGAAAAGTACAGTAAAACTACATTCTGTTCAGTGTAGCCTTTCTTGAATAAATATTATTACATCATTGGGAACACACTGAAATACTGAGCAGAGGATGTTGATTTAATGGAAATTTTGCCTGTGTAAAGACTTTAGGACTTGGCCCAGAATATGCAAAACAAAGACGCACTAGTAAAAAAATGGAAATACAAAGAAATATACACAATGAAATAACAAAAGAAAGGAAATAAAGTATTCCTGGGCCAGATTTATCTTGAAAGGGTCATTTTTTTTTTTACAGATTAGGTGGAGAATAGTAATTCCCCGAGTTGCATGTAAGCAGTGAAATGCATCAGTACCACAACTTGCAAATACAATTCTTTTGGTTCACAGAAATAAAAACATTTTAAATAAACATTCCTCCCCTTTTCATTGTCTAGAAACACAGATGCCTTTGTCAAGTAATGAGATTATGAATTCTTCAGTCATGGAAAACATTCTTCAAAATTTAAAAAACCATAAAGGTAAGAGAAATGTGGATTGATTACACATAGAAAATAGCCAACCAACACGTATGTTAATAGGGCTTTAATTATAGTAGCCCTTGGCTATTAGAACCCTTGTTTCCAACAAGTTTAATTTCCCAAGTTAAGGCTGACAAGTGTAAAGGTCCTTCTAAGACAGTAAATACTTTAAAAGCAGAAAAAGATAAAAACATGTTTTGAAGTTTTTACTAAAGCAATTTAAGAATATACAATGTTCCTAACAAAAGCTCATTATGTGCAATTTCCCAGGCCACCAGTTAAAATAGCCTTGTTTCAGGAAGGCACTAATTCACTGGCTGTCAGTCCATTAGGCCAGTAGTTTTCAAACTATGGGTCGCGACCCAGTACTGGGTCATGGAATGTCAGGCACTGAGTCTTGTTGCTGCAGGAAGATCAGGTGACCAGTGGGGGTGCTAAGGCAGTTACCTGCCTGTCCTGGCGCTGCAGACTGTGCTGTGCCCCAGAGCAGCAAACCCAGCTCCTAGATTGGGAGGAGAGTGGGGAGAGAGTGCACAGGACTTCGTGCATTGCCCCACCCCAAAAACTAACTTGATACTCCCATTCAGTGCCGGCTCGAGCAATTCTGGCACCCCGGGCAGCGGGCGCGCGACGCATGTGTGGCCCTGCCTCCACCCCCTCCCCCGGCACACTGCACACCTTACAGCTGCCATTGGGTGTGCGGCACCTGATGACAGCTTTAAGGGACGGCAGATGGAGCTGGCAGCCTGTGCTGCACTGGCTGGGCCGGCGGCCACCACTGCTGGCGTGCTTCCCAGGGCCGCCCGGG